TATATATATTATATATGTATATATGAAAAATATATCAAAAATGCATGTGAATACTCAAATGAAAGGTCGTGACGACTGTAACATCGGGATGAGCTTACATCTTTAAAAATATCATAAGTTGACAAGATACAATGTCATTTCGTAATTATTGATGTTTTTAAAGATATAAGCTCATCCCGATGTTACACTCATCAAGCGCTTTCATTAGAGTACCCACTTGCATTTTTGATATATTTTTCATATATACATATATATAAATATATAAAATATATGAAAAATTGATGTGGGTACTCAAATGAAAGGTCTCAATGAGTATAACATCGGGATGAGCTTATATCTTTAAAAATGTCAATAGTTCACAAAATACAATGTCATTTCTTAATTATTTATCTAAAGATAGAACATTTTGCAATGACACTAAATTTTACTAAAAAAAATCGATTTTTTCATATGATTATCCTGGACACCGAATTTTTTTTATTCTCTTCATAATACAAATAATTGGATTAACTCATACCGACTTTTGTCCATTACAAATCACACGAGATTACTACATTATATTAGGTAGCCGTAGTGGAAAGCAATAAGTAAAAGGAACGAGTGTGTCATACTCGCAAACAAGGATTTAACTGGGATATTTCCATCTACGGGTTTATCGGTATCACAATTATCATTCATTACTTTATTTATAATTATTACTTATTACTGTAACAGACTGTTTATTTTTTTTTTTTTTTTTTTTTTTTTTAAGAGAACAAATGAAATGTGACGGAGAGTTTAACGAGCGGAGAAGATACAAATGTAAGAAAATTTGCGGACAGGAGGGATCCTGATAGTAACAAGTGGAAGAAAATAAGAGAGAGCCGATTGCGTCACATTAGTGGAGGCAAGACATAACTTGAAGTCACGTTTAAAAATAGAATCTCTCCAGTTATTAAAGAATCCATATAGGCCCTCGAGACCCATCGAGTTCTTATTCTCTCTCATTGGTCTTGTGGATTGCTTTTTGTTGTTCTTCTTCCTCCTCGGCATCAGCATCAGCAGAATCTTTTTTTATATTATTTTTATTCCCATTCTCAGCGGCTTAATATAATGCTAAGGTCTTATTTCGTTCATGGAACAACATCTGCTTGGCTTGATGTGAGCTGAGGCCTTTACTCTATCAATGACTCATGCTCTAGTAAATAAACTCGGACGTGCGAAAATCATGCATATGCCTGCACCTTATATACGTACACTGTGTAGTTAGAAGTAATTATATGTATGATAGATTTTATTACAGCTTGTTTACCAACTTATAAATTATTTGATAAATACTCTTCACGGGAAGTAATTTACCTTGAAATCAAATTAATAGTCAGTAGTAATCTTCAGTAATTTTTGTTTTTGACTTTTATCACCGTCCCGTTATGGCAGAGACATTAAAAAATAAAATAATATCTGATCAGATTTATTAGCTGCCCACGTGCTCCTACGTCTGTGTAATTATCATTTGATGTTTATAAAATTACAATAAAAATAGAAAAAAAAAAAAAATAATAATAATCTATATTATTAAAAGAATAAGAAAAATTTTGTGGCCAGTGTATTTTACACAACCTGGAGTTGTGCCTTTCCAAGGTTTCATATCGTTCTCACCAATAGTCAATTTATGATGATAAATATTTAGGCTGCATTCAAAAATGCTCTATCGCTAGATACATAATTAAGAAATCACCTTGTATCTTGTGAAATATTGACATTTTTAATAATATAAGCTCATCCCGATGTTACACTCATCAAGACCTTTCATTTGAGTACCCACATCAATTTCTCATATATTTATATATATTATATATATGTATATATGAAAAATATATCAAAAATGCATGTGAGTACTCAAATGAAAGCTCTTGATGAGTGTAACATCGGGAATGAGCTTATATCTATAAAATGTCAATGGTTAAAAAAGTACAATGCAATTAAACAAAAGTCATTATTTAATAAAGCAACATTTTATTTATCTATAGTTCACAAGTCACGGCAGTCACATAGTGGCTGTGAGGTTGCTAGTAATATTATTATAATTATATTTCAGAAATTGTAAAAATTAAAAGCCCTTATTGGAGAAAAAAATTAAATTTTTGTACTTATTTAAAAAAGGATAAAATTTATTACTAAAAAAAGAAGAAAATAAAATATATAATATCTTATCTATTTAAATAAAAAAAAAATAAGTTAATCTTCCTGGCGTGTCCATTCATCTAAGACTATTTCCGGATTAAATGCTAACGAGGGATTAAATTTCGCTGAATAGAAACGGAAGCCGATTGCCGATGAAAATTCCATATGGAATATAATACAGTAATGAATTATCTCAGATATAATATAAGAAATAATAACAAAAATAATAATAATAATAAAAATAAAGTAATCTTGATATTACAGCAGATGCCTCTGTCAAAACTGACGGCTATTTATTTAAGTAGCGTAATATTGAAATTGCAGTTGACAGGATTACATTCAGGTGTAGGGTCTAGGCTGTTTAAACAAATCGTAGGTAGTAGCATACAGCAGGTATATA